TTATACCATGTGTTACAAATACTTAAACCTGCTTTTAATTATATATTCATTATTCCAAAATTATCATAATTATGTAAAAATTTGGTTATTCATCATATTCATTAGATGATGAAGTGAAAAATTATAAACTTAAATAACATTTTAAACGTTCCCAAATTATAAATTATTATTTATAACATCTGATCATTTTGATAAAATAGTCACCATAGACTGCTTTTCTTCATTTTTATATCGATTTTCTTTCCCATTAGATCACTGGTTGTTTTAATGATTTTAGAAAATAGTAAAAATTATTTTATTTCTTTTACAGCCAAAACGGATTCGATACGAAAATCTCCGAACAACATAAACACGTAAGTTATGCTCAATCTTGGGTGTTTGAATCAGACGGTGGCGGAGGAATGTGTCAAGGGGGCCACGAAGACACTTCACCTTCCTTATCAGCTGCTCCCACAGACCGAAGCTCGGGAGGACCTCCTACACCTATGCAGCAGCACACCACCGGTAGATAATAAAACTTATGAAAAAAATATTAGTTTATTTTGAAAATCACATTTTCTTTCAGCTGGTGTAAACGGAACCTTAGTCAGTTCTCCCGAGCCGCCACACCATCCCCACGAGGAGGTCGTTCTCCTGCTGCCATTTATGCCACACGGCAGCAAATCACCCAGCAGCATGTTCAGAATGTTATGCATAGTCCTCCTGCAGCCTTTGTCTCCAAAAATCCACAGCCAACTGGTGGCAATGCGCACCAGCTAGTCCAAAGCGATTCGTCTGCCGATTCCAAGTCATCTGCTCGCGATGCCGAATTTTCTAGAGAATTGGAAGCTGCCTTGCAGTTGATCCAGGAACTGGAAACCCCGTCAGAAGACCATCCCGTTGATGGACTCGGAAAACAAAGTTCTGGGTCCCCGACAGACAGTGAGAAGACACTTAGCGCTGGGGGTAAGCATCGATATTGTGACTCTCAAAGCACATCAGGGTATAGTTCACCAAGTAGAAGAGGTTATAGCATTCGGGCTTCCGATGCTGCTACCATCATAAATTTACACGGAACTCGTCCTAGAAGAAACGCTTCACGTTGCATAACTCTTCTAAATGTCGATTCCCGCGGAGCCATGACTCTGTTACCAGTGTCTTCCAGCTCCTCGTCATCTTCCAAAGGAACTTCCAACCAAACTCCTAGGTCTTCAGATGCGTCTTCGTCCACGGAGACTTTGCGAGCGGTTGGACAGCCCCAACCTTGGACGACTAATGTAAGATCCCTTTTAAGGAGTAAAAAACCAACAGGGGGACCAAAGTTGCCTCCAGAGCTAGAAGCTGCGATAGTTAAAGCGAAAGTTTAGCGTACCTGACCGACGTCGAACTGATGCAAAGGCACGAAAGGAATAGGGAAATCCAAAGGGTAAGATGAGGATAGTTAGGACTGGTTTGTGGCACGTGGTTGTGGTTTGAAGTTTGATGAAGCATCGATGATGGTGATGGTTTGAAGGTTGATTTGTTGATGTTGGCTGTAGATTCTTCGTAGGACTCTTCTTGCCTGAGAAACACTGCTGACTAACAGGAATGATAATTTCTTCGCATACTATCATCTTTTACATAAATCGCCTAGATTTTTTTTTCTCTTCCCATAATAATAATAATATCTATTATAATTAACTCGAGTTTGATACAGATTTTGATCCTAATATTAAACTCTCAGAGCACCAAAATCCAGTCGAAGGATTATTTCTTGCTTCTTTGAAACTATACATCTTCTTTTTAACAAAGTTATACTTTAATCTTTTATGGCACAAGTTATCAATTCTTTTAGAGTTAATGTGATTATTATTAAAGTTGATTGATTTTGGCAAAAGATCAGACTTTTAGGTCTATTTCAAATAGGTTTTGAATATTTTTCAACCTCTATTTATTAAAACAAAAATTATATAAATTTGAACCTTGCACGATTGATCCAAGTTTTTCACTTTCAGAAATATACTAATTATTTCTTTTCAGTACTAACAATAACATTAAATTATATATATATAGATATATATATATATATATATATATTAGTATTCTAACGTTGCAGGTATTTGGTTGTAGATTTGTATATCAACTTTTGAGTATAAATTTCCCTAAAATAATTTATAAAGCTAAAGTAGAGTATATTTAGAATATAACTAAACAGTAAAGTATATTAAATAGAAAATCAATTAATAATTATAAAAAAATTATAAATTATAAAAATGTCAAGATAGGATGTATATTTTGCATTTTGTATTATATAAAAAACACACTCTAATAATTCACATCAATGCATGTAGTATTTAAATAAAATAGGCTCATCCACACAATTAGATAACACTAATATTATTAAATTTATATTTATTTTTTTATTTATTTATGGTTAATGGGGTAGTTACAAAATTATTTGAAACAAATTTTGGCAAAACCTTGGTATAAGTAATTATTAAAAAATTTACTTTAGTCTTGAAAACTCATATTAAACCAAAATTGCAAATTGTTAAATTGGTGTTTATTAATATAATTGTAAATGTAGAGTAATTAGTAATTTTAAATGTAAGAGTATTAGTAGTATAACAATATTTATATCTTATAAGTTAGAAAATCCTAATTCTGGGCTTTGATTTATAAAATAATAAACGTACGAGTTTACAAATAATTAATTAAGAAAGCAAAAAATAAAACAAATTAAACACAATGATCAATTAAGACTGCAAAAAACATAGTATAGGGGTTAGTGAATTTAAAAAGGGGATTTGTAACGTTTAAAAAAAATATTACAGGAGTTAGAAACATTTTTGCAAAATTTGGCTTTTTTGGTACATATTACATTCATTTGAATTGAGTTCGTTAAAATTAAAATCTAGATATAATTGCTTCAACAAATTAAGAATTATTACAAATTAGGCACAATGATTAATTAGGACTGCAAAATCATAGCACAGGGGTTTGTAACTTATAAAAAAAAAGCTAGAAGCATTCTTACAAAATTTGTCTTTTTTGGTATATATTACAGTCAAGTTGAATAGAGCTCGTTAAAATTAAAATCTAGATTATAATTGCTTCAATAAATGAAGAATTAATACAAATTAAATACAATGACCAATTAAGATTGCAAAAACCATAGTACAGTAGCTTGCAACATTTAAAAAAATCATTATTGCAGGGGTTAGTAACTTTTTACAAAATTTACAGGCTTGTAAAATGTACAGGCTTTTTTTTGGTATATATTGCAGTCAACTTTAATTGAGTTCGTTTAAAATTAAAATCTAAATTATAATTGTTTCAGCAAATAAAGAGTTATTATTAGTGATCAATTAAGACTGTAAGAAGTATAGTACAGGGATTTGTAACATTTTTTAATAAAATTCAATAGTACAGGGGTTTGTAACAATTTCACAAAATTTCAATTTTTTTAATAAGGTTGGTATATATAACTGAAATCTAGATTATAATTGCTTCTACAATTTAGTTCCTAATTCAGATTGACAAAACAAAGTATATATATAATATTTTATTTAAATAATTTGTGTGGATGGGTTCAAAATTTTGTACAGTGCTTTTTTGTTAGTTATGATTAAATTAATTAATTTTTTTTATTTTTTCAGAAAATCCAACAGAGAGTTCAAAAGCAACTGTCAAACGGTACTCTGCCTCAT